TAGGCCCAACACCGTAGTATGAGAAACATCCCCATATCATGATGCTTGCGCAACCATGCTTCACTGTCTTCACAGTGTACTGTGGCTTGAATTCAGTGTTTGGGGGTCGTCTGACAAACTGTCTCCGGCCACTAGACCCAAAAAGAACAATCTTACTTTCATCAGTCCACAAAATGTTGCGCCATTTCTCTTTAGGCCAGTCAATGTGCTCTTTGGCAAATTGTAACCTCTTCAGCACATGTCTTTTTTTCAACAGTGGGACTTTGCGGGGGCTTCTTGCAGATAGCTTGGCTTCACATAGGTGTCTTCTAATTGTAACAGTACACAGGTAACTTTAGACGTTCTTTGATCTTCCTGGAGCTGATTGTTGGCTGAGTCCTTGCCATTTTGGCTATTCTTCTATCCATTCGAATGGTAGTTTTTCGCTTTCTTCCACGTCTTTCAGGTTTTGGTTGCCATTTTAAAGCATTTGCGATCATTTTAGCTGAGCAGCCTATCATTTTCTGCACTTCTTTATATGTTTTCCCCTCTCCAATCAACTTTTTAAACAAGGTACGCTGTTCTTCTGAACAATGTCTGGAACGACCCATTTTCCTCAGAATTTCAGAGAGAAATGCACTGTAACCAGCATGGACAACATTTGCTGCCTTCCTTCCTTAAATAAGGGCAATAATTGCCACCTGTTTTTCAAAGAATGAATGACCTCACTAATAGAACTCCACACTGCTATTATTTTGAACATGCCCCTTTCAATTAGTGATTCAATTACATAGAATCAGCAGCATGCATGTCATGACTGTTGGGTCTGTTGGATTTCTATTACTCTACTACACCTGCTAGTAAATTATTTGCCATGTAGAAATATCATTTCTACCAAAAACAGTGATTGTTAGTGATGTCTGACTGCTATTATTTTGAACACAACTGTATATATATATATATATATATATATATATATATATATATATATTATGCACACTTTGCCACCCTGTGCAGTACCCTGTATAGCGGCTAACTGGTTAAGCTAAACTCTAGGCACAAAGGTTTTTATTTACTGTATTCCTCAATAGCCACAAAGGTTATAAATCCACTTTGTATTCACCAAATGCCTTTGCAAACCCAGTTATTACTTTGTAAAAGTTGTAGTAACCTCAGCACTGTACTGTCCTAAACCTGTGCAAAGCTGTGGATGGGATCCAGCAAGTTCCATCCACTATAGGCTACCTACAGAACTCTACAGACGACCAACCACCCCGCACAAGGAGAGAGCAGCAATGGCCGGTCTTTATTACAGGAAGCTCCTGCACAGATGCAAAGTTTCATATTGAATTACTGTATAAATCAAATATAAAGAAATACACAAAGCACACCAAGATTCAAGGAAGAATACACATTCCTATTGTATTTGGACAATATTTGCTTATCCCGGAGTTCAGCTTTAAATTAATATTGTATATGGATGACCCTAGAGGTATTTGAAATTTTTGGTTTTGTATTTCTTATGCATAAGGGTAAACCATTGGGAAAACACACAAGAAATTAACCACACTGTGTCTATACATTTAGAATACATATCCATGTGCATCCATGGCTCACTTTTGTTCTACTGATATATGCTACCCACAAAAATACTGCCCAATTCTTTTAGTCTATGAAAAGTTACAAAGCTCTCCCATACTACAATCTTGCATATTTATATTAAAGTGTACATACAAACAAAACTTTTTTTTTATAAAGTAGGGTCAGAGTACAGGTTAAAATGTGTGTTACCTCAGCATTTCATATTCCAGTGTGTATGCATTTATTGTACCATGTACTTTTGTTAGAAGTATCCTGTTCTCCTTTGTATTACTTCCTTTGAGTGAATTACCTGGTGATCCTGCCAGTTGTCTTGTTTTTCTATTTCAAACTGACTATGCCAGGAAAGGTAGCACATCCATCCCAGCGTGGTTAGTTTTCTTCTTTGCATCCTATTTGAAAGCACAGCCTGTCTGTCCTCCAGTGGTCAGACTTGTGTTGACAAGCCCCCAGCACAGATAATCACTGGGAAGATCACTGTACTGCTGTTTCTCTGTCTCCTGCTGACACTACTCTCTGCAGACTTCACCCCTAGCTCTCTAAGTCCCTTATGCAGCTGAGAACAGAGATCACTTGATCACTTACTAACCCCTTCCTGCTGCCACCTCCCAGCCCTTTAAGAGCTTCTAAATGCCAGGAGGCAGAGGCAAGCATTCTGGTCCTGTGACTGCTATGATTGGCTGTCACAATGATTACATGATCGCAAGTATGCATCGGAAGCTTTCCAGTCCCTGCCGGAAACTGTCCTGGAAGCGTGCAGGCGCACACTCTCAGCATAGAAAAGTGTTTACATAGGGCTGCTTATTTGCGGCCTCTCTGTGTTAGAGCCCACCCGGGAGAGGCTGCATATATGCGTACCTTAGATGGTAAGTGGTTAAAGACAGAAAGCGTAAAGTTTTTATAATATACGATATATATATATATATATATATATATATATATATATATATATACACAGTATATATATTTACAGGGGTGTGGAAATTAAACAAACAAAAAAAACCTACTAGTCCAAGGACTAAAATCGGGGTTCCAATGTACTTGTCCCTCATGACAATCTGCTTGTCCTGATAGAAAATATGCAGGGATGATGTTTTTATTTGGCATGGGTGCTTTTAGGAATATCTGGGGCTTTTAAAAATGAAAGGGGCTTTATGGCATCTTAAACTTTTATTAATTTTTAAAATTTTTGGTAGAGGCCCTCGATAATAAATTGGTGGGTTTTGCAAATTTTTGTAACACGGTATTTGTGCAGCAGTTTTTCAACAATTTTTTTTTGAGAAAATACACTTTTTTTTATTTTATTGCAAAAAAAAAAACTCAATAGATAACCTAACTTTTTTGTTAGAGTATAAATGATGATGTTAAAGTAAATAGATACCGAACATGCCACACTTTTTAAAACTGCGCATTCCCGTGCAATGGCAACAAACTGCGTAGATTTTACTATCCCTAGGGGACACTTTAAAACCCTTTACAGGTTTACCACTTTTGATTTTCACAGGAGCTAGAATTATTGCCCATGATCTGTTGTTTGCGGTGATACCTCACATGTATGGGACGATCACTGTCACGCAAGCATGGGGGGGTGGGGGTGCTTTAAAAAATGTTTTTTTTTTCTTTTTTTACACTGTTGCTTTAATGTTTTTAAAGGAAAACAATACACAAAAAACAGTCCCACCTCCCACTGCCTGTAAAAGCTATCCAGTGACTGGTTAGCTGCTCAGATTGCTTTTACGAAAGATGACTGTCGGCTCTAAACCCTACTTCTTGCCTGCAGCAGCAGTAATTGTGAAAAAAAAAAAACCTTCTAGCCCAGTGCCCAGAACTGCATGTCCTGGGCGTCGGGCAATAGGAATTGAACATCCCTCAGACTATAACACACGCACGCACGCACACACACACACACGTTTTAGATTTCCCCTTCCTTTCTGTCTCGGTGACAAAGGGGTGCATCTCCCCAGCACAGACAGCAATAAGAACGTGACAAAGGGTCTAATCTCCTACAAACCTTAAAAAAATGTCTGCCTTTACATGTGATTTAAAAGAGATTATACAACCACACAGCAATGCAGAGTATGCTTGTGTATCTTACATTTTTTTTTTAAACACTAGAGGGAGTCTTCTGCATGTAAATCAATACGTTATTTCCTACATCTACAATGTCCAAGTGACCAATAGACTGGGATAATTCTTAAAAACACTAGCTGAGTCATATCTATTTAGGAATGTTAGTATCATTATGTATCAGTATCGACAACCAATGTTAATCATTATATACATGAATTTTCATATGCAGGGTAATTGATATCTGGCTACGAAGTGTCATTTAAAAAGGCATTTGTGCAGCTTGGTGTATGTTTGATTGCAAGCTATAGATGGACCTAGAAAGGCACATTTAAATTTTAGATGGGTCAACAATCTATCTATGAAAATGTAGTGAAAACATTTTTTTTTATTCAAACAGGGACACTAGAAACATTTGGACAGTTTACTGTAATTAACCTCCTTAGCGGTATTCCCGAGTGTTACTCGGGGTAAAAATGTCAGTACCAAAAGCGGTAACCCCGAGCTACACTTGGGCTTACCATGCGGCGTTGCTCAGGGAGTCCCTTCAGCACTTACCTTGTCCTTCGCTCCCACGATGTGTCCCCTGCAGCGTCCCCAGCCATCTCCTCCGGCCGATGCCGGCATCCGGCTTCCGTGTTCCAGTCCCTGTGACGTCGGGACGTACGGGCGCCGGAACTGGCGGCAAATTTGAAATTTTTAAAAAATTTTTTTTTAAATGACTATTACATAGTAAAACATTGCTGTTTAAATGCATTTCACATACATTTTGTCCCAGTGCTTTGTCCTGTGCCCTGCCTGCATTTTGACTGTTCTTTCTGCCTGGAAACTTAGAAAAGTCCATGGCGTCCAAAAAGCGTCCCTTTACATCAAAAGCGGTTTTAGACCAGCTAGAGAACAGCGATAGTAAATCAGAACCACTTGCAGAATTGAGTGATAATGATTCGTGGGGAAATTCGTCATCAGACACTGAAAACGATTCTGCGACTTTGCTCAGCAATGTGCGAATTTGCCTCTGTATTTCAAATTTCACTGTTTTTGGTTTGATTATATTATTGAATTAAATGTATTAATTATTATATTATTATTTTTTATGATTCTTAAATTATAATTTATGATTTCGTGTTTCAAATTTTATCCTACCCGGGATGTTTACTAGACTCTTGTTCGTACAGATTTCAGTGAGTTATTCCTAAAAATTACAGGCCTACAATAAAAAACTACATATTTCCATGCAGAAAAATGGTACCGCTTTCAGCACAAAAAATCGGAAATAATCAGACCGCCGAGGAGGTTAACAAGCCTGTGCATCTTACAAAGCAGTGTATACATAGGCTGAATGGTAGCTGCATTACCTTTCAGTTCCTTGTCGGTGTAACGATGGGCACTGGACACCAGCTCTTGTTTCAGTTTTTCCACCAAGAATTTTAAAACAGAAATATTCCATGAAGACTTGATGCTGCAATGGAATATAGCACGCAGTGATTAAAACATGTACAAGCCAAATTATCAATGGATCAGTTTTTAGAATTACATACCTGGAGCCTGCAGGCACATACCTCCCCAGAGACACAGAGTAAAAGCCAATTTCTAAATGTTGGCATTCAGCACAGGCACATATGCTTACTACTAAATCTATTCCTAGATTGTAAGCTCGAAAGAGCAGGGCCCTCAAACCCCCCTCATGTAGTGTATTGTTACTGTCTCGTCTCATGTTCTGTCCCCCCTGCTATTGTACAGCGCTGAGCAAACCCTTTGGCGCTATATAAATACTGTATAATAATAATATTGCTGCAAATGATATTAGGAATCTAATACAAAGAGTTATCCTCACCTTTCTGAGCCATTGAAGCGCTTGTTATTGGAGATGTGATTGTGAATGTTATGCACTAGTTTCTAAAAAAGAAATAAGTACAGTTAATATGAAGTTTAATGACAAACAATCAACAAATCTCCTATAGTGGAACTTTAGGAAAAACAGCTAAATACACAGATGAAATACATGTGAACTGCTTTATCTGCCAAAGCATTTGTAACTCTTGAATGCCAGTCTTGTGATCCAGACACCCCCAACATACTATATAAAAACACCATTCTTTTCTATTTCAGTTTATGTTATCTGCATGCCTGCATTTTAGGTGTACCTGAAGGGTTACTTTTGTATGCTTCTACAACATCACCTTTAGAAGTATATGGAGGGTAGTGTATATATATATTTCTATAGGAATGTCACATTCGCTTTCCCCTGATGAAGTCTGGGAAAAATGAAATGAGTTGGGAAGTGAATGTGACATCTTTCATGTTAGTGGTGTCAGTGATTACGAAATGTCATCTAAGTAGTTATTGCCTTTTAATGTGAGATTTGCTTATAATGATATATTTGTTAAATAGAAACTACTACACAATACACATTTATTTTATGTACCTTCTTCTCCTAAACGGCTGATATAATAAAACGACCTAATATAAGGAAGAGTGTGACATATATACAGTGGGGATCGAAAGTTTGGGCACCCCAGCTAAATATTTGTATTAATGTGCATAAAGAAGCCAAGGAAAGATGGAAAAATCTCCAAAAGGCATCAAATTACAGATTAGACATTCTTATAATATGTCAACAAAAGTTAGATTTTATTTCCATCATTTACACTTTCAAAATAACAGAAAACAAAAAAATGGCGTCTGCAAAAGTTTGGGCACCCTGCAGAATTTATAGCATGCACTGCCCCCTTTGCCAAGCTGAGACCTGCCAGTGTCATGGATTGTTCTCAATCATCGTCTGGAAAGACCAGGTGATGTCAATCTCAAAGATTTTAAATGCCCAGACTCATCTGACCTTGCCCCAACAGTCAGCACCATGGGTTCTTCTAAGCAGTTGTCTAGAAAAATGAAACTGAAAATAGTTGACGCTCACAAAGCTGGAGAAGGCGATAAGACGATAGCAAAGCGTTTATCAAATGTCAATATCCTCTGTTCGGAATGTAAATAAAAAATGGCAGTCATCAGGAACAGTGGAAGTTAAAGCAACATCTGGAAGACCAAGAAAAATATCAGACAGAACAGCTCGCAGGATTGTGAGAAAAACAATTCAAAACCCACGTTTGACTGCACGATCCCTCCAGAAAGATCTGGCAGACACTGGAGTTGTGGTACACTATGCCACTATAAAGAGATACTTGTACAAATATGGTCTTCATGGAAGAGTCATCAGAAGAAAACCTCTTCTACGTCCTCACCACAAAAATCATCGTTTGAACTTTGCAAATGAACATATAGACAAGCCTGATGCATTTTGGAAACAAGTTCTGTGGACCGATGAGGTTAAAATTGAACTTTTTGGCCGGAATGAGCAAAGGTACGTTTGGAGAAGAAGGGGCACAGAATGTAATGAAAAGAACCTTTGTCCAATTGTTAAGCATGGGGTTGGATCAATCATGCTTTGGAGTTGTGTTGCAGCCAGTGGCACAGGGAACATCTCACGAGTAGAAGGAAAAATGGATTCAATAAAATTTCAGCAAATTTTGGATGGTAACTTGATGCCATCTGTGAAAAAGCTGAAGTTAAAGAGAGGATGGCTTCTACAAATGGATAATTATCCTAAACACACCTCGAAATCCACGGGGGATTACATCAAGAGGCGTAAACTGAAGGTTTTGCCATGGCCTTCACAATCTCCTGACCTCAACATAATTGAAAATCTATGGATAGACCTTAAAAGAGCAGTGCGTGACACGACAGCCCAGAAATCTCAAAGAACTAGAAGACTTTTGTAAGGAAGAATGGGCAAAAATACCTCAAACAAGAATTGAAAGACTCTTGGCTGGCTACAAAAAGCATTTACAAGATGTGATACTTGCCAAAGGGGGCAGTACAGGATATTAACTCTGCAGGGTGCCCAAACTTTTGCAGACGCCATTTTTTTGTTTTCTGTTATTTTGAATGTGTAAATGATGGAAATAAAATCTAACTTTTGTTGACATAATATAAGAATGTCTAATCTGTAATTTGATGCCTTTTGGAGATTTTTCCATCTTTCCTTGGCTTCTTTATGCACATTAATACAAATTTTTAGCTGGGGTGCCCAAACTTTCGATCCCCACTGTATACAGGGTATATATTACTATATATAAGAGGGATGGTGAGTTTATTGGTTTTTGAGAGAAGCACTGGTGACGGATTGAAGCAGAGAATCAATTGTTCATTTTTATACAGAGGATTTGCACAGCACACTATTCAGGAGACTGCTTAAAGTAGAACTCCAGAATAAGCAAATATTGTCTAAATACAAGAATCATGTATATTGTTCCTTGAATCTTAGTGTGCTTTGTGTATTTCCTCCAGACCTGTGCAGGAATGCATTGTGAAACTTCAAAGAGAAGTAGGGCTTTTTTTTCAGCAGACATTAGTCCACTGTCAGCTGAAAATGGGTCACAGGAGTGTAGAATGGACTGCACTACTGTGATCCACAAGAAAAGTACAGCAAAAAAAGAGTTTTGGCTGTACTTCTCCTTTTGCTTCTGTGCAGGAGTTCCCTATAAAGACTGGTCACTGATGCTCTCTCTCCTTGTGCAGGGTGACTGGTCTTGTCTACGCCTCCTCCTGAAGTTTTCTGCAGGCAGCCTGTATTAGGTGGGGCATACTGGGCTCTTCCCACAGCTCTGTGCATAGGGAATGTGCATTGATGATATCACTGCTAGTTTTACAAGGTAATGTCTGTGTTTTCAAAGGCATTTGGTGCACACAAAGTGGATTTATTTTCTTTGTGGCTATTGAATATATTTAAATTAAAAATGTTGTGCTTGGAGTTCAGCTTTAAAATTGAATATGTTATCAAATTTGTTTCTGGATACTGGCACTTAAAGCACTTAAAGGAAGTGGCCACACAATGAACCTGGATGAGAAGCAGTTCAATCTGAAACTGTGCAAATGGTTCTTTACTGTTAGGGCAGTAAGGATGTGTCTGTTCCTCAGTTTGGTGGTGTGAGAGGAAAGTGTAGAGAAGTTCAAAAAATACTTTAAGGTGTTTCTTAGTAAACACAATGTACAGGGATATGGAAAACAGTAGTCACATACACACAATCAGGTTGATCTGAAAGGAATGGTGTCTTTAGTCAACCTTACTAAAGATATAAGTAAATGTTTATAGGATTCTTGCTTGTAATATTGATTTATTGGTAGTGATTAGTATTTTAGCACTGTATATAATATATATATATATAGTATATAATAAAATATTCTATATTCAATTACAACTACTTATAAATGTGGGATTGTATTACATTTTTTTCTTATCTTAGATGAACTTACTATACATGTAGAATGCATTGGGGTAATATATAAAAACATTGCTGTAAGTAGGATGTTGGTTTACTGGGCCATGCTGCTTCAGGGCCCGTTCACACCACATGCAGTGCAGTGCTTTTTTTCTGCATCAAAAAAAGCATGGAAAGTAGATTATATTGAGTTCACAGCAGCGTAGTGCGTTCCAGTGCTTTTTTCCTGCACAGAACTGTACTGGAACACAGTAAAAAGCATTAAAAAAATGCACTGGACCCCAGTACAGTAAAAAAAAAAAAAAAACATAAAAAGAAAGCAATACAAAAGCATTGTCTTGATGAAAATGAAGATTTAGCAACTGAAATTACCCCAAAAAAAGGAGGGAAAAGGCATCTGGAATGCATAAAAAAGCATTAAAAAAGCACATGCAGAAATGCATCTGGAATGGTTCTGGAGAATGGTTTTGTGGTGTGAACTGGTGCTCAGATATAATATACTGGTGGTATTTTTTTCTTACTAAAGCAAATAACAGTGTAACCTATAGACTCCCACTCAGGGACGGACTGACCATTTGGAAACTCGGGCACTGCCCGAGGGCCCGGGGTCAGTAGGGGGCCCCATGAGATGCCCCTGGAACCTTTTTCATAGGGTTTTTTGAGTTTTGCAAGGACACAGGGGCCCCATGATCCCCTATTGCCCGGGGGCCCCATGAGTTGTCAGTCCGCTCCTGCTCCCACTCCTCCAATAGAACAATGAATTACACTTGATCACTTGATCTGATTCCTCCACACTATTGATAGTGGCATGTTTTGGTTGTGTACTTGACTAAATAACTTCATTTTATTCTGTCACTTTTATTAAATATAACAGCAAGCACTACATGTGGTTAATACACAGAGGATATAGATACTGACTTTATAAAGAAAACATTTTTTTTTTCTTAGTCCAAGATAACCTGTGGTTTCTTTAGAGCAGAGGAAGACCAGCTGTGGCTATCCTGCTGTTGTGAAATCACAATGTTCCTTCATGACCTACCATGGTTTCTTATAACCAGTCTAGGGTATAACATCACATGCTAATTACAGAGCTATTTTTAATGGAAAGATAGCCAGACCAGAAAGTGATCAATCCTTTACATACATTTAAACAGCAACAAACAGCCAAATACACAGCAGAAACACACATACTGGAACCATTCAGCTGCTGAACGATAGGTAAAGTAATACAGGTACAATTCTACCCCAACCATCACAACTGTTCTAGCATAACAAGGCAATACAAAAGGCTGTGACATGCTTTAAAGCATGCAGGTTCTGCAGACTTGCCAGAATTAGGGCTAAAGTAGATGGGTGTTTTTGCCAAATGCTGCTTTTGCATTTAAACATATCACAGCTCAGATAAATGTAATTGAACAGAAAATTCAGCAAAAGCTCCATCATCTGCACTGCATATGCATCCTAATAGGATCTGTTGTGTTCAAAGAAATACAACCCATTGCAGGTCAAACACACCTTCAGGACAGTCATCGACACTACACCACTGAAGTAAATTTGAATCTGCAGACTTTCATTTGATGTGTGCTTCAAACACATAGAACACATAGGAAAACAAGGCTCATACATATGCATGCTAAGTTGGCAAAATGTAAACATACCAAAAAGCCACCCCCTCCCCTCCAATTTCATAAGCTTTGACTGCAAACACTCCCACAGTAAGCATGATTTCAAATTTTAGCTATTATGTGGCAAAGCAGTAAGAGATTTATTTATTTCAGGTACTTATATAGCGCTGTTAATTTACACAGCGCTTTACATATTTATTGTACATTCACATCAGTCCCTAACCCTCAAGGGGCGTACAATCTAAGGTCCCTAACTTACATTCATATACAAGGGCCAATTTAGACAGGATCCAATTAACCTACCAGCATGTCTTTGGAGTGTGAGAGGAAACCGGAGTACCCGGAGGAAACCCACGCAGGCACAGGGAGAACATGGAAACTCCAGGCAGGAGGTGCCGTGGCTGGGACTCAACCCAACGACCCTAGTACTGCCAGGCGGAAGTGCTAACCATTTAGCCACTGTACTGCCAGAGATTTTGAATAAATACAGCAGCAATACTAAAATGGTTATATTAATTCAGAGGAAATAGCTTAACAGACCATGTTTATTTATATATTTGCTCTGACTTTCATTAACTGCTCAGTCTGGAATAGCCTCTGAAATGACTGAATTTATTAAAGTGGAACTAGCATCATGAGTATTTTTTCATGCCAAGCCCATGCATGCCAAGTGTGACACTTACAGGCATTTACTACTTTTTTCTACAAAGAATACAGTACTCCCCCTAACAACACCTTCATCTGCTTTTCTCTTCACAAGGACGGCACTAATTTGTTTAGGTATTACCAAGGGTATTTCTTTTTTGCACTGAGATGCTGGCTTAAGGATGAAACTGCCAATTAAAGCTGTATTCACAAATATCTTACAGACAGTATCCTGCTGCAGCCTCTCACCTTCTGACTAGTACTGTTTTTTTTTTTTCCCCAAACAATACTTAGCTAGGTGAATGCAGCATCGATCTGATGCTGCATCTGTCCCCCACTGGCTCTAAGGGTGAGAACTGAGCTATCAGACACTGCTGATCACTCAGTTCTCCCTGCCGCTCTGAGCAGAGAGCAGCGACTGTCAGTCACTGCTGCCTACTCTGTCCCACACCCAGCACTGAGCTATGGAGGGGGCAGGAGCAGGTGGCAGGGGCAGGTGCTAGTTATGTTATGTGTGTTAGTTTGTTGAAGTGTTGTTCATTTTGAATGGCACCCCAATGCCTTAAGGCAACACAGCTCTGACAGAAATGATTTGCAGCACACCACAACACACAGTAATGCACTTTTGTGCACCATTTTGTACTGCATCAGAAAAAATGCTGCATATTCATTTTTTGGTCCATTTTTGTGCTTTGGCAGTCTATTCAAAATAAAAGTGCTGCCTTAATGCAACTTACGTTAAAGTGCAACACTGCACACAGAGATGTATGAATGCAGCCTAAAGTGTATCTAAATCCTTTGTACAAGCTTTGGCTGTACTTCTCCTTTAATGGTGGAGAGAGGATAGATGAAATGCTTCCTCCTGCCCAGGAGCGGACTGACCATTTGGAAACTCGGGCACTGCCCGAGGTCAGTAGGGGGCCCCATGAGATGCCCCTGGTATCTTTTTCATAGGCTTTTTTGAGTTTGGGCAAGGACACAGGGGCCCCATGAACCCCTATTGCCTGGGGGCCCCATGAGTTGTCAGTCTGCCCCTGCTCCTGCCTACAGTAATCTGACATCACCTCAGCCTGGGCACAGTGACTTGCCTGAAGCTCAAAAGCCGCTTTCTTATGATTAAAAAACAAAACACAATACTATTGCTCTAAATTTGTAAATTGTGACATGCCAGGAATGTATTCATTTGTAAAATTGCTTAAAGGTCCACTTTAATACAATAAAAAAAATACACTTTAATACAATAAAATGACCATTTACAGTTAACATATTTCTTTATGCAATAAGACAAATGTGATAATTTTCCACACATACTGTACCCTATGTACATACTTACAGACAAAACCAGGTCTCGTTTTCTTCTAGAACATTTCTGGCCATTGCTTCGTTGGCGAGAGCTTGTGCCAGTATAATACGGCAAAAATGATGGTGGTGACACTGGAGGCCTCATCTCTGTAGCATCTGGAGAAGACTCTGCCATAATCAAGCAACCAGGACTAAGGGAGCCATCCTTCTGTATTAGAAGATGTGAATGTGCTGACTTCAGAATTGGAGGAGTTGCTTCATTTAGAGCGTCCACTGTGTCCCTAGGAGGATGTGAATCTGTCACTGGCTTCACGAAGTTGGGTGGCAAAATCCTTTGGGCTGTTGGTTCTGGAGTTAAAAAATCATCTATAGCCTGTAAGAATAAAATCATTGTCGTAATGCAGATATACACATTATCCAGTTTAAAACTATCCCTTTAGAGAATAATAAAAAAAAAATTAAAATACAGCTCTTAATAGCAGCTACTGTGTTCATCTACAGATAGATGGCTGGTGGTGAGGAAACATAGGCACTGAGCATGCACACAACAGATGGTATGAAGATAATACACCTGCCAGAATTACTGCAAACAGAAGCTGTCCCTATTAAAAGTGACAGACTGCGTCTCCCACTGGAATGAAGTTGAATGGAGACTAAGCATACACAGGCTGTGAGTTGATATATTATGTACACATACACATGGCAGGATGCAGAGGGGGCATTAAGCCAAAGGAATATGAGGCCACTGAGCAAAGAGCTGAAACCTATGCTCCATTATATTGGGTTTTGGTTAACTGCTGCAAGTGTAAAAAGGAACACAGCCAGAACTGTTTACACTCACATAAAAATTGTCATGCCAAGCCATCAATGGTGTCAGAAAAATATTTGGGTAACATTTCACTCTGGCAAGAAAGCACAGATTCTGGAAAATACATCTGATCATACTTTCTTCTATAACATATGTTTGCCCAGATTTTTGTTACCTTGTTAAAATCATATGTAAACTCTAACAATACATTTCTTTTATTTGCTCCCTCGTGGTCTGTTACATATAATATTGGAAGCATTTTATTATATCTATTCAACAAGTACAAAAAAAGATAGCTGTTCATCCAGCTAGAAATCTTGTGAGTTAACTCCCTGTACTCTCTGCCTCTGGCCAGTACGGTTGTCGCCCTAGTAAAGTAAGTGATTTAAAGGGTTACTAAACCCACATCAGTAAAATAAGTCTGTATATGCAGTAAAGCATGCTTGTTATATTCACTGTGGGGGGTGAATCCTTCACATTGTGTAAAAAGGCGGTTTGATCCTGTCTTCTCTGATCCTCCCCTTCCTTTACTGTCCCCAATCCATCTGCTGCTAGCACAGAGCTCCATACGTCACTCTGCAGTTGCTCAGTTTAGTGTATATTGCTAGGGAGTTTTTTTCCTTTGGAAGGGTGCATGTGATCAGCACAGGGCCAATCAGCACTGTCCAGACAGAGGGTCAGGGGTATTGCAGCCTCATAGAACAGTCAGATAATGAAAACTCCTTCTACAAGCTTTAAGCAGTGCCTAGCTGGACACTGATAGACATCACAAGACTGCTATATACTGCTAATAAGAAAAAGTGTTTAGCAGTTTATATTTACTGAAATAATTGCATTTTCATGTTGTGTGTACTGTGGAAGACCAGATATAGTGACTGCAGGGTCCTGGGTATAGCAACACTTTAATAGTAGGATTTCCAGGGTAAAATAAAGGAAACAAGTGTGAAGAAATAGAATATGAATGCAGCCACCACATCTAAGAAGCAATACGCTGCAATGCTATCAGTCTTTGTTCTTGGATTTAGATACACTTTAGGCTGGATTCATACATCTCTGTGTGCAGTGTTGCACTTTAACGTAAGTTGCATTAAGGCAGCACTTTTATTTTGAATAGACTGCCAAAGCACAAAAATGGACCAAAAAATGAATATGCAGCATTTTTTCTGATGCAGTACAAAATGGTGCACAAAAGTGCATTACTGTGTGTTGTGGTGTGCTGCAAAGCATTTCTGTCAGAACTGTGTTGCCTTAAGGCATTGGGGTGCCATTCAAAATGAACAACACTGCAACAAACTAACACACATAACATAACTAGCACAAAGTAAACACATAGGGGTAGATTTACTAAAACTGGTGCACTCTGAATCTGGTGCAGCCGTGCATAGCAGCCATTTAGCCTCTAACTACAGCTTGTTCAATTAACCGCTTCACGCCGGCGGAACGCAAATGTGCGGCTTCCCGGCGTCTGGGCCTAGACGCCGAGTGGCCGCACATTTGCGTTCTATTAATAAGGACATAAATGCCAAGAACGCGTGCCCGGTGCGCTCCCAGCACACATGTCCGGTACTCACGGAAAGGTCCCGATCTCCTCTTTCGATCGCGACCTTTCCCGATCATGTGACCACTGTATACTGACAGAGGGACAGCCCCCCCCCCCCCCCCCCCCCCCGAAAACACTGGTCAGCCACAGCCATTGGCTGAGAATGCTAAAACAAGCTCGTTCGACAGAAGCTAGCCGTGAGATTGGCTTCTGTCAAACAAGGACCCGTACACATGGGCCGAATGTGAACCGGTATCTACTGTACCGGCTGATTTCAGACAATATTTGGCCCATGTGTACGGGCTTTAATGTCTGAATTGAAATTGGTATCAAACCTCCTGCCATCTCCTGTGCTGCACAGCTCAGACTATGAGTGGAAATATCAATACAAGATGCCAGTCAGTTGTGTTGCAGTGCTCATGTGCTAACAAGAAACATGTTGATAGAAGGAGAGTGACAGAAAAACATAAGCTCATTAGTTTGCTGCTTTTCCTTTACTGTCCAGCTGTAGAAGTCTCAGGACTGGATGGTCAAAAAAGGTATAAATCCTTCAAGAAAGGGAAAACCAAACATTTTTTGATTTGGGAATTCTAATGGATCGATGCTATGGTTAGAATGTGAAGTTAAAAATAAAATTAAGGAGTCTATTTATATCAACAATAACCCAGCAAATTAGCTGCATATGCATAGGTGGACGCTAACAACATAAAGTGGAACTTCACCGAATATTTTTAATCTTCATGCTGCTAGCATTAAATAGGCAGAAAGGTACCGGTATATCATATTTACTTGTTTTAAACATTTGCTTCCTAGTTTCCATGCCTAGGCAAACAATGTCATAAATCCTAGGAGTCTTCAGGAAAGGAAGAGGGGCTTTCCCAGCTAAGCACACCATCCTGCCTGCATGCCTGAGCTATGAGCAGATGTATTCCAGGAAGTAAACACTACATGAATCATCTGCCCTTATTCAAGATGGCCACGGCCAGAAATGCTAGGGGGTGTTTTTCACAGTGATTTCTCAGCAAATTATAACATGGAGACATGAATGTATGAGCAAGTTTGCTTTTGACTATTAAAAATGAATTAAACAGTGTTTTTGGTTTATAGTGCTCAGATGCAATAGAGTTCTGCTTTAAGCAATTAAATGAAATATAGCCATTTTACGTAACAAGTATAGAATTGCTTAACAGTTTGGAATAGTATATCTGCATCTTGCCCGTTGCAATGTAGGTAGGCAGCTGATGCCAAGGAACCAATGTCCATTGTCCAATGGCAACCTTATGACGTTTGACTGACAATTGGGTAGCAAAGGGAATATGACCAAGGCTGGATTTACCATGAGGCACGCTAAGCCCGTGCTGAAGCAGTTAAGTCCATTGCTCATTAAACCTCATTAAACCAAATGTATATGTGTACTTTGAAATCAATATAAATCAGTGGATTATTTTTCCTAATGGATATGCAGTAGGTAATGGTAGATCACTTATGTTTCACCTATTAATTATAGTCATCACCCCAGTAAAGTCGGTATTTCGTAATAAATGTTCATGCAGCCCTCTTAAAATTCATGTTCTTTCTTCTGTCAAATGAAGATCTGTCATTCTGTTAATGCCCTTGACATGATTTAAATAAAAAGTCCAGATTCCATATTTTGATGCCAATTCACTTTAAGCATGGAAGGATTTCAGACATTTGCTTCCAGCCTTTCCTAGTTTAGGTCATAAGACTAGGAGCTACTTGTGTAATCAAGTATGTTGGCACAAGCTTTTGACAAGGACTGTCAAAAACTTCCAGTAAAGCCTATAACCTATAAGGAACTAAATGTGCTGGGTAAAGGCAGAATCGGAAAGGCAAGGCACAGTCATTCTTGCCTAGGCAAGGAATGAGGTACTGGCAAAAACCATGTGCAACTCAGTTACAGGCTGAGTAGAGGGAGTGAATGAGCAGTAGTTATGCTTTAATTCCACTGCTGCACATGCTGACTTAATGATACACACAGGCTGAATATCATCTGGTACCAGGAGGTTCAACAGAAACCAGCCGATATTTGGCCAGTGTGAACAGCAGCCTGTCCGACAGAAGAAACTGGCTTCTGTCATATAGGCATGCTGAAAAACCAGCATCCGATCAGCGCTGGCAATCGATGGCTGCAATTGCTGATCAGTGTGTTCTAGTGGGGGGGCAGTCTCCCTGTCAGAACACAATAGCTCAGTGGGAAAGATCGCTGCCCTAACATCGCTTAGTTAACATGGTGACCTCTCAGTTTTTTTCCATTCAGCCACTGGGCTGAACGAAAGAAAAATTTCACGTGTGTACCTAGCATTATAAACTACATTTCAGACTTACAAATACTCAAACACAACAGAATTTAGGCAGATTTTCAGAGCAAACCAAAAGAGGCAACTTTATAAGAGATGTGTTACAACTTCTCATGTCATGTCTCAGTCTGACAATACAGCATACATGTGCTAAATTTATGATAACAGCTGCAGCTATTTTACCCTTAAATTGGAGTACTAATTGGATGTGGTCAAGGGATATTTTAATCAAGCAAAACACATGTATGTGTAGCGAGGTGCTGGCTATATTATTATGCCTTTCAGGGACATTTACAAATGTGACTACTAGATTGTAAACTCCAAGGAGCAGGGACCTCCTATCCCTCTTGTATTGAACTGTATTGTCTCCCGTTATATTGTAAAGTGCTGAACAAACTGTTGGCGCTATATAAATCCTGTATAATAATAATGAGACTTATTTTTCCCTAGTGCCCAGTACTGGGAGTGGTACATCACCTCCCGTTAGCAAAGTGGTTCCAGTTCTTCTACAGCAGGGGATCGTGGGACCAGTAGTCCCATAGCCAATACATCCTGTATTTCTAAGTGCTGATTGAACTACAAATACCAGAGAGCTGCTGAACCAGAAGAATGGTGGGAGAGCAGGTATGTTCTACAGCAAGGGACTGACCCGCTCTCTGGGTGTGGGATTCGGAGCTGAACACAGGGGGACTGCCGTTCTCCTCCTGAGAAAGATTGTTGGCCTACTACTGCGGGACTCTGCACATCAGTTCAGCTCAGCGGTGACACCGATCGCCACACCGAGATCACATCAGCTTCTCTGCAACGAGACTGTCACTATCCGGTCTTCACACAGACATCTCTGCTCGCTGCGCTGACAGGCCATCAGGAGACAACTCTGCACATCCCTGCAAAACAGCCAAGAGCTTGTGCAAGAACTCTTGTTTCTAAAAGGCTGTGCTATCCACAGGGATAGATGAGCGGGCAGATGCCTAACAGCTTTTTGTCAGCACTCTTGAGAAACTGCATGCAGAAGCCTTTACACCTCAGTATCAGGACATCTTTGCTTTGAGCAGTACCACAGCATATCTGTTTAACTTCATTGAATCACCAGTATTCACTGCTGTTTATGGGCCCCACCATTGCTAGCAGAAGACAACAGACACCACCCTATGAGGAACTTTAAACATCACAGGACTCAAATTGCAATCTCTAGCTAAAGGGACCTCTTCTCTTCTAAGACCATAGTGGTTCAAATTAGGGTACTTCTATCTGTTCATGCTGGAGTGTAAATTTACATAATTCTTTGCATCCACCATTGCGGTACTGATGGCCTAGAGAGAGATGATAAGTCCTTTTTGTCCCCCTCTTACTGCTGGTGTTGCAGTTTAATAGTTAAAGCTTGCTACTCAGTACTGTACAATTTATTAAATGTTGCTTTTTTACCATATCCTATTTTTATGCGTTGACTGGGGTTGTATATCCTAAACCCATTATTCTTGTGTTCTACTCTTTTGAACAAGACTAATATAGAGGTGTTACCAAAGAATCATGCCTCTTGCATTATTATCCTATACTGTTTAAATATGTCTGAACCCAGAGTGTCAGAGTTGTCGGGAGGCTTGCAAGATCAGGACAACCACTGGGGACAAGCATTATGAAGCAGTCCCTGTAGGGGTAGCGCTATATATGAAAAGTGTTTTTAAAGTCCATAGCAACCAATTACCTTCCAACTGACACTTCTTCCATATAGAGCTGAACATTAAAGAAAAGGATTCGGATTGGTTGCAACGGGCTATAGGAAATTTTCTTGTCAGAACAAATTCTATGTATAATCCCTCACCTTTGACCAATAGTAAGGAGGGAGTGAAAATGCACATAGTTTGTCTGCTACTATGGTTGCTCACCACTGTCCTTCATTATCTGGACATTTTCCTTGTTTTAATGTGCATCTAAAGATCAATCAAGCTATCATAGCACCTCCCCTTCCCCAATTACAGGGTATAGGTAAGGCCCTGTTACTTGTGATGCTTTTCTTGCAATTTGAGAATGGGGGGGGGGGGTGTTGGGGATGTATACACACTCCTCAGTCTGCCCTAAGCCCCAATTTATTTCAATTGGCCCTTTCACTGACTTTTTAGATCTGTTCATCTGTTTTAACGTAGACATTTGCCATCCATCTTAATCTTTGGTCCTGAGTATTACCCAAACATGTACCGATGCTAAAATACCCCCATTTACTTTATCAGAACGACACATATAGGACACCCCAAGTTACTAAACAATTATATAGGCCCAATGTCAATGTTCAGGTCCTGCCATATCACTACAGAGTATACTATATGAAAACTCACACTGCCGGAGTAAGAGGTACAGGATTCTCAGGATTATGTAATAAAATGTTTTGGGGATCTATGTACACCTTGTTTTGTTTCTTTGTATCTCCTTTGATACCATAATTGGAAAAAAACCTGCAACGTGTATGTGTCTCTCAAACTCTTTCTCATACTAAGTTGGTCGCTTTACCCTTCCCCCTGCACTGAGCTGAGACTGACTATTCAAATCCAATCAGTACATTTTCTGTTTTTCAGTATGTCCCCTTGTTTGAAGAATATAGGCACAAATCCAACTCAGATGGACCTACAACATACTGTATGTATTGTAATGTTCCCCTTAATGGAAAATTGTTTTCACTTACCGGAATATGAATGGGACTTAGAAGTGATTGTGTCTCATTTGGAGGACATGGAGGCAAGCAGCTTTCTTTTGTCCTTTCCATGGTTGGTGGATGAAGTCCAGGAACTAATGATGCAGATGCTGCACCCAGCTGTCTGAGCTCCTCTATGACAACCTGCACTCCTCTGATCTCTTCAACTTCTTCCTCGTCTGATAGCTTACATCTTGCAGTGTTATCAGGTGATTTTGGTCTTTCTGATCTTTCATGCATATTCCGTAAACTGCTCACTTCATCCTGTAGTTGGCTCAGTAGACTACTGTTTGCTTTGGCCACATTAAGAGCAGCTTCAGCAAGTCCCACTGCTTTCTCCACACGCTGATAGATAAGATGCAGAAGCTGCTCACATCCTTGTACTGAAACTCCTTGACCAGTAACCGTAACTGGAGTTGGTCCATCAACAATCACAGAGCCACCTTGAGTGCTTTCAGTTTTGCATCCACATTTGGCATCATCTTGCCCTGTTGGAGGAGTGAAAAGGATGGTGGCACTAAAGGACATATTCCCAAACAGTGCAAATGTTCACTTCACTGTAAAACTGCACTGTTTATAACCTTAACTAACCAAAGTTAGTACTGGTTACTTTGGCTATAGCATGAGAATTCGTAGCAAAACAAATATTTGAGAAACACACAATCTAGAAACCCTCCATTATTAGGTTTTCTGTGAGTGCATATGAAATGGAATATTACAACTAAATAATTCAAGTCCAAGTAAGGCGCTACTATGGTTTATCATCTGTCTCTGAGATATATTATTTAATATGTTCTTAATATGTTTTTTATGATTGTCACAGTTTCTTCTGGGAATATTTGCTACTCATACTCTCAAGCTAGAAAAACATCCCACAAGATTTATGTTCTCCCCAAACAGAAATTCTTTTCTAAATCCAAGCTCCTTTATTTAGTACTATTGGAAGTCTTGAAGGAATTATGCTGCTGGTTTCATTTACACTTGTTGCCTTCTTGTGGAAGAATCAGTGGCACGATGAATTATTGAAATGTTCAGATGGCTGAAGTTTCTGGGAGAAATCTGTGATGGCAGGTTAAGAAAACATCAGTAAATCAACTTAGGAAAACAACAGTTTAGGCACACAAAATAAAGTTGTTTTTCCTCTTTGAATATTATTTGAATATCATAATCTATAGAGGCAACTCAGTGCATATCATTCCCCAAACAATAACTCAAATGTTGCTTTTGTCAAGAGAAAAATGTAGGCAACATGTTTGAAAATCTACATTTTATGTGTACTCCAGCTATAAATGATAAGAATATTTGGATTTCATCAAATAGTGCAATAGTCCTATAAAGGAATATGTCTTGCATGTTTAAAATATATGGCCCTATTCACATCTAGTGATGCCAGAGCATTGTGTTTTTTCAGGCTTTTTTTCCAATTTTTTGAGTGACACCATTCAATTGAAAGGGCTCCACTCCATAAACACGCCAAAGTAGCTCCTGAACCTATTTTTGGAGCCAATTTTGCCGTTGTGCAATTTGGTGCTTTTTTCACCTGTTTATGGCACATTTGGGGTACCATTAAGAACATTGTACAGTGTGCAACATGTGCAATTGCGCAATTCTGCCCACGATTCTGAGTCTCTCAGATGTGAACAGGGCATAAGGGCCAGATCGCATCAGATCGCACAGTAACATGTGTCGCATTCTCGTGCGATTCTCACACGTGTCCATGTAATGCAATTTTGCAGCCCCATTCATTTGAAGTGTTGGGTGGTGAAAAGCATGAAAAAGTGGGTGTGTCTTATCAAAAGTGGATGTAGATCAGCTGGAATCGTTAAATCATCATGGTGTAGTGATGATGAATACTGTACAATTATGCCAGGTTTTTTTATGACATTGTAATAACCACTGGGTTCCAACAGCAATATATACTGTATATATGTACAGTACATCCTGTCTGTAGCTCAACTACACGTCTGGAGGACCTTATGTCCTAAGCTGGCATCAGATAGGGACTGAACATCCACCTGTTAAAATTTGGAAAATGAGAGAACTCAAGACTAGGTGCAAGCCTTGCAAATGAGAATGAGTCTGTCGTAAAAAGCCAAAGAGACACTCACAAAACTAGTACAGTGAGCATTGTAAGGAACAGATGGAAATCTTACCATAGCGCTTTAATAACGGTCTCTCTGAGTCACCAAGAAATGGTGGAACAAGAATCCAATTCATCTTTTGGGAACCATTTGGAATGACAAAGAAAGAGTCAGTTTTTACAAACGAAGAAGTGACCAAAGAGTTAAACTCATAGACGAAACTACATCAAGGCAATGGAGGGAAATCTCCTCCTGATGAAGTGGAGCCTGACATATAGAAGGAAGAACGATGTCCTCATTGCAGTGAAAGGCTAAAACTACTTTAGGTAGAAAGGAAGCTCTGGACCTTGAAACCACTTTGTCCTCGAGCAAGACCAAGAATTTTTTTTTACAGGATAAAGCTTTCAGATCAGACACTTCCCTTGAAGAAGCTATGGCCACAAGAAACATCACCTTATGGGTAAGATTGGATTGAGGAATATTCCTGAAAGGTTTATAGGGCAGTTTCTGAAGTGCTGAGAAAAACAAATTCAGAACTGCAAGGAGTCCCAGAGGAGTGAACAGTGTGCACATGGTGCAAGTGTATAATCCAAACACACACGTTCCTGCGTTAAAAATGGCTGTGTGTATAAGTGGGTGCTGCAGTGACCGTCGGCTGGAACCGAACAAAATCAGCAAGGGAAAAATGCCACCAGCACACCTGGTGGACACTCTAAACAAAAGTTTTGATCGTGGAATGGGAAGCCAATTTGGAACAAGACAGCTAGAGGAGATACCTGACCCTTAATAGTGCTGAGGACCAAATTCTAGTCAACCACAGCTATAACAAGGTAAGGACTTGTCCCACAGAGCATTTGTTAAATCAAAAGCCTCGTACCAAGTGCAATATGCCTTCTGCAAAAGGTCAAGGGCCTTGTGAGAAATATACTTCCTAGCTTTTAGCATTGTGGGAGTGGCTGAATCAGAGATGCCCCTGTCCCTCAGAACCTGGGGTTCAACAGCCATGCCATTAAAGCTAGCACCTGCTAAGGTAGTAAATCAGTCCTTGAACATTTGGCTGATCTGGAAATGTCTGCCAGGAGTCTTATCACGTTGGAGTACTACATCCACCAGGGCTAATCAGGAGCTATCAGTGTCACTGACAATCCAACACTTTAGCCAAAATGTTCACTGCCTGTGAACTGACAGGAGACCCATGCAGGAAAGACAGAAAAAACTTCCAGCAACCCATTATCCTTGTAGTTTAGAGTTACAGCCCCTTTGGAATTTAGAAATTTCACAGAACTGATCCTAGACAATCTGTTTTTTCAATGGCATCTACATGCAAAAACAGCACCCTGAAAAATCAGTAGGAGCAGCTGTTTGTGTTGGAGATTAGCCCTACCTGTAAGATAGCACAGAAGCATATCATCTGTCCCACTTTGCGCCTCCCAGCTCTTTTATTTTAACTCTGCTTTGTCTGTGACCTGTCAGACCTTGTATTGCCACTCCATCGCCATGAGTGCAATGTGCTTTCCCACTGGTGATCAGGAGTAGGAGTGCTGACATCAGATCTCACACAACCAGAGGTGTCAGTAGGAAAAGTTGAAGATGCCGCTCACCCAGCCCAATCCATGTAAAGTGTACGTGGCGGCCTCAGCCAGCGCTGCTCCAATGACCAACCCCCCATCGATGCGTTTTGCCTGGCCACTGGGACTTAGTCATAGGTTGAGAGGCAAGAGCAGGACGAGAGAAAAAGCATGTTTGTTTTCATGGTTAATGTATTTGATACATTATTAATAACATATGCTGCAACAAGTTATGGTGAGTTGGCCAAAAGTGAACCATAAACTATCCAATGAACCAGTGTGAATGACTGTAGAGGCATCTTAAAACTGAAGGTATCTACAGGTTTTATCCCTCATACATTTTTTTAAAAAGGTGTTTATTTATTTAGCATTTATAAAACACAAACAATAACAGAGAAAAAGAGACAAATGATAAATGATAAGAGGAACCCAAAACTAAAACCTAAGAGCAAGGGTACACAGAAAGGGATCAGAAACAATTAAATTATTGCCAGGCATCCCTGTTTAACAATAACAAAACTACAAAGGGCAAGCATTTAATGCGGTATTAAACCCAAAAGCAAACATTTAATATATTGCAGCTTACCAATTCTTAGATGTGATGGCTGCATTAGTTTTGTTTTTTAGGATTTCTTTCATTTTCAACTGGTGATCTGGTCAGTACGTGTGTTGTTTTTCTACAGAACACCCTGTCCTGCAATTGGTGCAATTTTAATGATGAAACAAACCATTTACCACTGATGGGTGCTTGCAACAATCAGCCTTTTTTATGCAAAACCTGCTGAAACTGCTTAAAAAGTGTGAACTGCAGTTGGCTTCAGTTTATTAATGTATCCAAATTTGTACAGGAGGTGTGTTACTGGTCAGATTACCAGGTGAAAACAGAGAGAAAAGGCCTAAATAAAAAAGAAAACTAATACAGCCACCATGTTCCACGGCACCACCTGCCTGGAGTTTGCATGCTCTCCCTGTGCCTGCGTGGGTTTCCTCCGGGTACTCCGGTTTCCTCCCACACTCCAAAGACATGCAGGTAGGTTAATTGGATCCTGTCTAAATTGTCCATAGTAGGTGTATGTATGAATGTGAGTTAGGGACCTTAGATTGTACACCCAGTGAGGGTTAGGGACGGATGTGAATGTACAATTTATGTATGTAAAGCGCTGCATAAATTGACGGCGCTATATAAGTACCTGAAATAAATAAATATCTAATGAATGGTAAGCTGTAACATGATAACCCCTATACATTACAGTGTTGCAGTAACAGGATGCCAAGAAGTTCATGGTTACAATAACAGCAATAAATGTGTTGACCTTTGGGCTTTCACATAGCAATTTTTAGCTACTTACTCAATTCTATGAGCCATAATGGTGCACAAATACTGCACAACATGGAAACTGAATAAACAATTTTAACAGGTTGCACACAATACCAGTGACATAAAAAATGTCAACTACTATCCTTTTATTTTGGAGGGGGGGTTCAAAGTGCTTTTTATGTACAAAATGTGCATTTTAACCTGTGTTTGAAAATCAATCTGGTAGCAAAAGGGTTAAAAACACTCTTAAAATGTGCTTGTTGAAAATATATTGAAGGGAATTTGCGAAGACTGGAGCAGCCAGAATCTGAGTTGCTGTGCACGGCAACCAATCAGCTTCTTTCGTGTTTACACTTGCTTTGCTCTCTAAAGAGCGATCTGTATTCTGATTACTCTTCACAGAGTATTTGACAGGCGTTGAAGAAGCATTCCATCGTCTCCTCACAACCTGTTTTAATCCCCCAAATGCTGGACTAGTGCTCTGCATCTGCACGCATGGTTACAGGGTGGATGCAGCGCAGCCCCATTCACTTGAAAGGGTTGCATTCAGTAGTGCCAATG